GCCCGTGCTGGCCGGACCCGCTCCGGGGGTGCATTTGGGGGCGCATTTCGGGGCTCACGTTCCCGTTCGAGCTGTAGTTCCCTCTTTGTTGTGTGCTGCAGTACATGCCGGAGGGCGGCTGGACAGATCCGTTTTATTAAGCTGCTCAGAAAGAGCAGAGATGGAAGAAAAACCTGTTAGATCCCGACTCCCTTATCCCTCTCGGTTAACGCCTGCCAATTCCCGATGTGTGTCTCCTACCGCCTCATCCAGGCTGCGTTTAAACCTTTCCAGCGACAGGTCTTTCATCACTTCCCTGGGGAGGCTGTTGCATGACTGTGAGATTTAATAACAACACAAATGCCCTGGGCTCTGACATAACCCTGAACAGCCAGGGATCTCCCAGGGCTCCACAAAGGAGAGCAGCTCTGTTTCCATTGAGGGGAGGGGGAAAAAAAGGGAACAGAAAAAATGGAATTATTTATCCACTGCCATCCAAAATTAGCAGCAGATTTAGGAATCAAGCCCAGGTCTCCCAAGTCCCAGTCTGGTGCTGTAACTACTGTGTTTTGAGCCAGCCTGATCTGTCTAATCCCCTTGGATCACTTCAAACAAGCTGAGATACCTTGTGGATCATATTTATGATTAATTTTCTGCTGTTTTTTTTCATGGTGTGGGTATCAGTTTTGAAAAAAAAGCTGATAATCCAGCCTTGAAAATTGGGCTTTGTCCACCAAAGGCGTTGTGTGAGGGCTCTCACAGGGAAGACATCTGGTGCCTCAGCTGAGCTGTTGTATGTTTAAGGCCAGGAGTAGCACATCTGCAGCATTATTAATGTCGATTACAAAATAATTGCAGGGCAATCGACCAAGCTTAGTCTGACACAGCCCCAGTGTTAATGTCCTTTTTAAATGGGAGTCCTACAAGAAGCAAATTCCCAGTTCCAAACTGAGGGTCTGTCAGAACCAACCTCTTGGGCTTTGCAAAGTGGTGGAGGCATCTTCATTCTTAAACAGCTTAAATCCAGGTTCCTGACCTTTTTTGGTCAGCAAAAAGCCCAGGAGACTTCTCATTAGGGAATTTCTCTTCTGGTTTCCTTCAGTGGGTAATTCCTGGGCGTCTTCAATGACCGCTCTGGTCCTGGAGGGTGATGAAGTTTTTCTTTTCCTTTTCTTCCACCCTCAGCTCTTGCAGGGTTTTGCCAGGCAGCTGCCATGTCCTCACCAAGACACGTCTGCTTTTCCCTGCCAGTTAAGTCATTTTTATCTGCCATCTGGGGGTGTTGCAGTGCTTACCTCGCTCTTAGCAAAAGCCCTGGGATGGAAAACATTAAATCTGGACAAAAGGATTATTGCAATATCAATGTTAAGCACACTTTAGACATATTTCTCACGCCTGTGGTGTGCCCATAACCCTCTCCGTATGTCCAGCTTGGGGTTTTCAGTGGCAAGATGCCTCAGCATCCTCTGATGTGCCTCTCCAGGGATTACTTTTCCTGGCACATTCATTGCTCCACTGCAATCTTGTGGATTTCAGAGAGCCAGATCCTATCCTGGGCTCTATGGCACCTTGGATCCTAAAAGGAAGGATGGAGATGAAGGCTGAAAATAGCTGAGACAGCTCAAAAAGAATGATATTTGGAGAGATTTAACTACTAATATAATTTTGGTAATGTTTTCTTCTTATACAATCTGCATTTGGACAGCAAACAGCAGTTTCTGTAGGGTTTGTGTGGAGGCAGGGACCATGGAAAGGGGTTGTGCTGTGTTTTGGATTGCCTGGAACTGGATCCACTCCTGCTCCTGCTGCATCTGCAGGTGATGAAGCAGCAAAAGCTTTTTGTGGGGTCTCTGGGGGCCCAAGAGATGGGCTCACCCCGTGGAATCAGAGAATCCTTCAGGCTGGAAAAGCTCTCTAAATCACAGTGTCCAACCATTCCCACAGCACTGCCAAGGCCACTGCTAACCATGTCCCCAAGTGCCACCTCCCTATGGCCTTAAACCCCTCCAGGGATGGAAACCACCACAGGAAATGCCAGTGCAGAGTCTGTGAGTAACAGGTGATATTCCAGGAGAGGAAATCAGCCAAGGTTGTGTTGGAGTAAGGAGGAAATTACAGGCAATTACAGCTCCATTAACTGGAGCACAAGGAAAGGTTGGTTTCTAGACCAGGTTCTGGGAGAGTAATCAGATGTGCTGTTGGGAAGCAGAATAAAATTCTGGGTGGTTTTAACACAGGTTGTGTCAGGCTGGCTCAGTGTCTTCCTTGGATATGGTAAATGACTTCTGAAACAACAGGGCCCCAAGGAAATTATTATTTTAGGTGGAGACAGGGAAAAGAGAGCAAAATGCAAGGAAGACACTTGGATTCTTCTGCAAGGAGGGGTGTAAGGACAGAGCAGGCCAGAGGTTTTCAGGGGTGCTGGAGTTCGGTATCAGAATACCAAGGTCTGAGATCTCCCAGATCAGAGCTCACCTGTTTGCATCAGGCCACCACAGTGGCAACAGAGAGCCCACCAAGTGAGAACAGCTAAAAAGGAATCTGCTTCTCCTGCCTCTCCGAGGTGCCTTGCCGTGCTCTGGGTCATTTCACATCCTTGGAGGATGGAGGAGGAAGGGGCCCGGATCCCCCAGGCCGTGCTTTGCCTTTGGGGAAGCCTCCTGCGATGGAGCAGCGATGGCTGCAGTAAACAAACCCTTCCTAGGGCTGCTAATGGGAACCATCTGGCAGAGAGGGGCCCCTCGCCCTCTGCACTCGTGCTCCTTCCCTGCCGGAACCCACCGGGCCGGGAACGGGCCGGGAACTGCTGGGTCTGCACTGGGAACGGGCCGGGCCGGGTCAGCACTGGATCACACCGGGATCCAGCCCTGCCGGCCTCTCTGGAGAAGGGAACGGGGAAAGGCTCCCTGCACCCTCCTGGCTGCAGGAAACCCGATCCTTCAGAGGCAGGCTGAGCTTGGGGACTGCCCTGGGGCCACCCCAGATGTTCCCTCTCCCTCCGTCTGCCCCAGGGTCAGGCAGGAAGGTGAGGGGGGATGCAGGAGGCTGGTGGGGGAAAGCTCTGTGATGGAGCAGCGTTGTTTTCCTCCCTGCTACTTGGAGCCGTCAGTTGGTACAAGGGGCAGGATGAGAGAGGCTGGAAGGCAAAGGGGTTCTCACCTTGTCCTGAGCCAAAACCCTGAAACTGCTGGTATGACCTGGAGAGGAGGACAGTCCTCACTCCTGCTCTTCCCAGGCTGTGCACCTGACTAAGGACATAGGGAGCAGAGGTTTGGGACAGTCAGATCTGGCAGTTATGGTGCCAGTCTCCACTGGCTTTGCCACATGTGCCTGCTGCACCCTCAAATCCAGCGAGCCCCAAGGCTCCCCGAGCCCTTGTGAGGGCTTTGTAGCATCAGTGTGGCAGCTTGTCCTTAGGCTGTGCCCGTGTCACCACATTTTCCCTCTCCTGGAGGCTGCTGGTGGCTGCCTTGGGCCCCAGCCCCAAGCTGTGCTCCTGGGATGAGCCATGACAGCAGCCAAGAGCCTCCAAGAGTCCCTCTTGCAATTTCTCACTTGTTCTGGTTCCCTTATCGCCCCAGCACACCCTTCCCCTTTGAGATTTCTGCTCTTGCCTCCTGCCCTGCAGCAGGAAGGAGCTTTGAAGGCTGAAGCTGCAGCGAGGGGCTGGCTGGAAGCACCAGAGGGTCTGTGCAAGGTGGGCAGAGGGGCTGGGTGGGAAACATCCCTCCATGGGGGAGATAAATGGGTGGAATTGAAGGGAAAGGGGTTTGGGGGCATGAGGAGCGGAGAAACAAAGAGTGAGTGGAAGTAAAAATGGGTTTATTGGAGAACCCCTGAATGGTTTGGGTTGGGGGGACCTTAAAGCTCATTTTGTCCCACCCTGTGCCATGGGCAGGGACCTTCCCCTGGAGCAGCTGCTGGGGTGTGGGGAGTCTGGAAATACCCAGGGAGAGAAGGTGGCTGGGTTAGGGGAGGAAGATGAGCTGTGAGGGAAAGGAAGCTGGGGGAGGACAAATATTTGTGAGAAAGGCTGGGGTGAAGGTGAAAATCAGGTGAAAAGGGGAGGGTTGTGTGTCTGTGTCAGAGCTGTGTGTGGAGCGGGGACACCACGTTTTGGGGGTCCCTCATGTTCCCTGCAGGGTCTGTGCTGGGCTGCAGGACCCCACAGAGCCCGGAGGCACAAGGAGAAGGTGCTGTCCCAGGAATGGGGGCAGGCAGGGGCTCTGGGGGTGGCCCCCAGCAGATGCTGGGCTCACAGCAGCAGCCTGAGAGCAAGCTCGGAGAGCAGGAAATAACAACCAAACCGCAGCGAGACGGGAAATGATGCTGATAGAGCAGGGCTGGGCCTCAGCTGGGGCTGGGAAACCTTTGCAAGCAGGGCTGAGAGGGGCACCCACCAATGCCCAGGACCTGGGGAAATGCTCTTTTCAACGCTGACAGCAGCCATGAATTTTAGGTGCTTTGCTGATGTAACTCAAGCCTGCTGTCAGCTGCTGGGGGTTTGGCAGCCCAAGAGCCCCCTAAAGCTCAGGACAAGTTTGCAAACATCCCTGTGAGGTGGGCATTGAGGAGATGCCCCAAGCCCTCCACCCTGACCTGGCTCTGCCCTGGGGTTTTCTCAGTGTCTAGCCCAGTCCTTGGGCAGCAGGAAGGTTTTTGGGGTGGCAATATGAGGCCAAGGGGGTTCAGTAGGGCAGGAAAGCAGCCCCAGGCAGAGGCAGGTGCTGGTTTTCCATCTAACTCATCCCCATCATTGCAGAGCCACCCCTTCACCCTCCTTTGCTCTGCTCTGCTCCTCCCTTGGCAGCACCACTCAGCCCCACAGCTCTGTCCTCTGTATTCAAACCAGGGCTCATCTTTCACAGGTGTTTTGAGGGTAAAGTGCGGTGGGGAAAACCCCTGAGGAGCTGTCAGTGCCTTTTTAGCTCTTTTTTTACCAAAAGGGGTGATTTGCAATGCTGGTGTGTTTTTCCTGTGCTGGTCCCAGCCCTGTCAGCCTCATCCTCGCAGGCACATCACAAGGGCTCAGCCTAAAGGCACCCAAGACAAAATCCCCATCAGTGGCTCTGCTGAGCTGGGATCAGCAAGACTTTTCTGGGCTAAAATTAGACTAAAACCACAGTTCTTCCTCCAGCAGCACCATTCCTTGAGTGGCTGCATTAGTGAAACAGGGGGTGCTGGTTTTGCTGCCTTGGTTTGAGGCCGAGTGGTCATTGCTTGGCAGGTGCTTCCACCATGGGTTTGAGGTAGAATCCATCCCATCACCTTCCAGGCGTTCAGAGCCCCAAACCCTCCTGCTGCTGTCCCAGTGTTCCAGAGCTGCATCTCCCATCCAGTTCCCTGTGCCTCAATCTCTGGGAAGGGCTGATCTGAGCCTGGAGGGAGCTTTGAGCACACCCCAGCTCCTGCAGGGCTGCTGGGGTTGGTGATGAAACCAACCCCACTCCTGATGACATTTCCTTTCCAGGTGCTGCAAGAGCTCTGTCTGTGACACCTCTGCAGGGAACCTCGACCCACAGCCTTCAAGCTGAGGATTAAACAGAGGGAGAAGGGGAAGGAGCCATGTTCCAGGCCACGGGAGCAGCCAGCCCAGCCCCAGCCCATGTACGTGGGGTTTGTACCCTGGGGTTTGTGTGGGAATTTCAGCTGGGTTTGGGTTCTCAGGGGGGGAGGGTTGTGCACAGAAGCTCTGTTCCTGACCTGACATTTCAGGGTGATCAAAGGCACGGCCACAGCTACTCAGAGAGCAGGACTGGGGGCAGGAATGTTCCAGCAGAAGGTGCTGTTGGCTGAGCATGCTGGACGCCAGCCTCAGGCTCTGCTCCATCCCCAGCTCCTGGAGCTGCTGTCTGTCTGTTTGTTTGTGTTTCCATGGCTTTCCGTGATCACAATTGAGAGCTTTCGAGCTGGAGTGATTGGAGATGGAAAAACATCAAGGTTCAAGAACATCTCCTGCTGGGACAGGATATGGCCCTTCCCCGAGGGAAGATCTATCAGATATGGAGTGGAGAGTGTGCCTGGCTGGCCAGGAGCTGCCGAGAAGTGACAGCAGCCCTGGGCTGCTGCAGCCTTGGGAACGGATGTCTCAGCTCCAGAGAGGCAGCTTTTCCTCAGCCCTGCTCAGCTGAGCCTGGAAGCAGCACATTAAACCCTAACCCCAGGAGAGCAGCTGTGCTTGTTCTCCCAGTGCCAAGGGATGCAACTGGTTTTACACAGCCTGAGCCTCCCCTGCCCATGGCCCACTGTTGACTTTGGCTCCTGCTTCCAGCCTCGTGGGACTAGGAGGAAAATCACAAAATCGTGTCCCTGACCTCAGGCAGTGAGAGCAGCTGGGAAACCTCTGAGGAGGCAGCTCAGAGGCGAGGGGAGAGCTTCCTGTGCCTCCCTTGGACAAACTGTTTCCAAAAATACAAAGGAGAAGCGATGGGGAAGGACAGGGCAGGAGGAACAGGGGGTGGGGATCAGCCTGGGGGCAGAGAGGGGCAGTGCTGGGCAGGCAGAGCCAAACTGGGTGACATCCTGGGGGATGTCCTGGGGTCACACTGCCCTGACCTTGGGAGCAAGGCATGAGGGGATGAGCCAGCCCTGGTTGGTCACCTCGCTGGAGTGCCCTTGGATCCCGACTTTGGGAAGGCAGGAGCACTTCCATCAGTGCCCAGGAGGGTGGAACTCCTGGGGTGGCTGTCAGGGACCCAGCAGGTGTGGGGTGGGTGCAGGATGTGCACGGGTGAGGGGGGATTTGGAAGGGATGAGCTGTTGCAGCTGCAGGGACACAATGCAGAGACCCTGAAACCTGGGGCACAGGTAGAGGCTGCTCAGTGCTTGGGGCTGTGCCCTGGTGCTGCAGGGCTGGGCAGCACCTGCCCCAAAAATCACACAGAGCTCTGCCCTGTGCCCTCCCCACACCCCCAGGGCTGTGTGCCTCATTTCCTGCACAGCCCCACTGTGAGGGCTGAAGGGGAAAAGAGGAACTGGAAACAAAACCTCGGCCCCAAGAGGCTCTGGGACAGTGAGGGGCACCCAGCTGTGCCCAGGGGGAATGGGCCAGTGCCCCCTGAGCCTGGGCATTGCCCCCTGAGCCCCTCCTGCAAGAGGAGTTAATGATCCCCTCCAAGGGCCAGGAGCAGAGCTGCTGTGTGGAGCTGCATGGGCCACAGGTGCTGTTTACAGGTGCAGGCACAGAGGGGTTTGGTCAGGGTCTTGTGCCAAGCTCTCATTTTGCTTTCTCCTTCCCTTTTTAGGAGGCCAAAAGCAGCTCAGGAGGCAGCACAGTGCAGCGCTCCAAGGTACCTTTGCTTTTCCTACACCATAAATCATCCCAGAATGGCCTGGGGTGGAATGGACCTCAGGGCCCACCCAGTGCCATGGAAGGGACACCTCCCACTGTCCCAGGCTGCTCCAAGCCCTGCCCAGCCTGGCCTTGGGCACTGCCAGGGATCCAGGGGCAGCCCCAGCTGCTCTGTGCCATCCTGCTGGTTCTTGGCAAGGCTGGAAGGGCCAAAAACCCCTGGGCCAAGCTCCCACCCAGCCCAGCAGCAGTGGAGTGGCCCAGGGAGGGTGAGGGAGATGGGGCTGCCTCCTGCTCCCCAGGGCTCTGGTGAATGGAGGGCACTGGAGGGATCCCAAACTCCTTCCTCATCCTCTGTCTCCCTTTGCTCTGCCCTTGGCCAGTCCTTCAGCCTGAAGGCGCAGGTGAAGGAGATGTGCACTGCCTGCCAGAAAACCGTGTACCCCATGGAGCGCCTGGTGGCCGACAAATTTGTCTTCCACAACTCCTGCTTCTGCTGCAAGCACTGCCACACCAAGCTCAGGTGAGCCCGGCTGTCCCTGTGGTGGGACAGGAGCCACTGCAGCTCTGCTGAGACCCCCCCAAATAGTGTCCCCCCATCACAGCCCCTTGTTTGGCCTGTAGCCAAAGCCCCCCAGCCCACCCACCACAACAAAGGTTCATCTGCACACCTGGGCCCAGCTAAACCCTGCCTGGTGTGGAAGGGGAGATGTTCCCCATGAGAGCAGCCCCAGGAGAGCTGAAGGAGCCAGAGCCTCCTTCTGGAGGACTCAGAGCTGAGCTGAGCTCCCCTGGGACCCCCCATCTCTGCTCACAGCCTCTGCTGGCCCTAAGGGTGCCCTGGTGCATGCTGTCCCCTCTGCTGCCCCCGTGTCCCCAAGCCC